ATTGACCCAAACGGATTTCTGCCCCGAAAGCACCAAATATCCCCGAGTCGACGCCGGTGTGTCCCATTCAACGACAGCCGTTCCTTCATCCCCAACGGTAAACTTTGCAGAAAACTTGCCCAAGTTCGTCGTGAACCCAGCTTCGGCTTCCGAGAGCTCGCTCAGCACAGGCTTGAGCTGCCACTCGCTTCCGCCGGGCTTGATGACCCTCAGTCCGACAAGATACTCCGTCATAGTCGAAGTTGGACCACTGCTCCACCCATGAGCATGCGAGATATAAGACGGATCGTTCCGGTACCCGCGATCTCCTCGATAGCCCCATGTTCCATCGATGAGATACCCCTCCACGACGGTAGACTGCGTGCCGTTGGGGTTATTCAGGTACCAGCCCCACGCGTCTCGGATAAGCTGTAAGGCCCGATCGGGGCGTCCCGTTCGGAAGTGCGTGGCGATCTCGATGCTGGAGATGAATGGCGACACGTTGTTTTTGAGTTCGGGGCAGTGAGGACCGATCGGGGTCCAGTTTGATTCGAGGTAGTCGGACACCTTTTGCGCTTCGGCGCTATCTGCGGAGACGACACCAAAGGCGACTGCCATGCTGTTCGCGTCTTGTGGATACAGCGACGTGTTGTCGGGACTTTCCTTGAACGCCCCCTTGATTTCATCCCATAGCTCAGTCATGATGGACGCTTGCAGCTTGCTCGCGGCGCTTGTCCAGTCTTTCTGGTAGCTGCTCGCGTTCGTGAGGGTAGGAGACCAAGAGGTGATGTCGGCGCCGGTGCGCAGGGCTCGATACAATCTGGTCGTAGGGTTAGTGTTTCTCTTGGCCGAGAAGAACATTCACCTACAGCATGCTTGCTGAGCTGCGCTCAGTGGAGTATGTCCATCGGCCCCAGTCCGCGGCGCCAGTCACGTTCATGATTCCCTTGTCTGAGACTTTGCTTCTACTGAGGTTGATTGCTCTGAGGTACTTGGGCCAGATGGAAGTCATGAAGTCCGTGTCGCCGGTGTACAAGAAGTAGTTGTAAGTGCCAACCAGTGTCCACAGATGGTATGCTATGCTTGCACCGTCAGCTTGACTTCTTGTCACCCTAAACTTGTCTCGACTTACTGTCGCTATCCTTCGAGAGATATGGTGGACCGGCTTTTGGCAAAGTACCGTCGGCAGACTAACGAGCGACACGTTGAGTAAATGTCAATTTCATCATCGTTGGGGCAACTTACCTGGTAGTTGTAGATCGCCAAGAGGGCATTCTTCGTGCTCTCCATATCGCCGGTGCTCACAAATGCAGAAGGCACCGCAGTCCCCATATCCCCAATCCAGACCCAGCGATCACGCTTCGCTCCATCCAGAAGGACGGTCTCCCCAGGCCCAATGTAAGCGTCATTCTGCCAGCTCGTGCGTCCACTTGTCCCAGACACGCGACCAGTCTTGCCCGGCACGGAGTTCGTCTGGATGGTATACGCCCCGCTGTACCAGATCCTGTTGAGGAGCTCGTCGCTGGAGTGGAAGTATCCCTGATAGGCTCTAAGATCGGACCACGTCGGCTGGAAGCTGATCTCCAGACTGATATTGCGAATCTCCACCGAGACGGTAGACGACGAGTCGAATGGCGTGAGGAATAAGGTCAGGTACCGGAAGCCGCCGCGTAGCTTCGGATCGGGCATGATGTAGGTTCCCGCTGCGTCCGAGGTGATGTTGTATGCGAGAGCGCCGTCTTGTCCGGTACCACCATTCGAGTTGTCTGACTTGCGACCAATGTAGTTTTTCGCCTCTGTGAAAGCGAGGCCGAGAGTGGCGTTGGTGAACTGGGAGAGCTTGTAGTCGATGGTCGCGATGCCGCCTACTTCGAAGCCAAAGTCAAAGACCAGGCCGTCGGTTTGGCTGGAAAGATTGACCGGTGCGGTAAAGTTGGAGATAAACGCTCCAGATGGTGAAGATAAGATGTACTTTGGTGTGACGTTACGAGAAGTGGGAGCATAGTTGTACTGGTCCCAAACTCCTGGGAACGAAGCAGAGCTTGGTCCATCGCAGGTCGTGTTTCGCCAGCATTCAGCAGAACAGTAATTTGCAAGGAGAGTTATTGCCGCAAGGGCTCGAATAGACGGTTGTGATATCAACATGCTGGATCTGGGTTTGCCGTTGTGGCTGCAATGGTGCAGAAGGAAGTGGTGCGACCTAGTCAAGTTCCGATGACACGAGGCATATCAAGCGCCTTAGACTTTATGCCGAGGCGGCTGTGGGAGATCATGTTCACGAGACAAGAAGCCTTGGTGGAATATCTTGACCATCTCCTTTGCGCTTCGACAGCTGAGCTTCGGCTGTCGTCACATTTACTTGCGCGGAGTCAACCTCAATCGAGTCCATCTTCGGTGTAGATTGCCGCGGATGACGCCAATCACAGCAGTTACAACCCAGGCACCGATACAGAAGCGGGAATACCCACGCATACCCCGGTCTAGCACTTTACCAGATTGAGGACAGAACTTCATGTCGGTCGTGGGGTTCCCCAACTTCTGCCTGTGTACCCCGCAATGCCTCTCCCTACGAACTTGTACGGATACACCAAAGGGATGTGGGTTTGTTTCCTTTGGGCCGATGATGCTGATTTGCGTTGAACGTCCATCGCGATCAAACATGGGTCTGCTAAGGTGGGATGTAACCTCCATGCTCCCGCCCGGATAGCTCCAGGTGGACGACCGGACTCTGCTTTTTCTTCTTTCGGGACGAAATGATCCGAAGATACGATGGATGTCTTCTGATAGTATGAATTCCTATTCAGCGAGAGAGGTTCTGTGACGCCCTCGGAGATGCTGAGATCTTGTCTTGTAGATTAAAGGCGGACCGATATCGATATCTGGCTTTGGGATTTCAGACGGATCAAGCCTCATCGTTGTCCTTTATCGTCAAAGATCAACATTGTAGCACGAATCTGAGTCGCATCAGAAAGTTCAGGACACATGATGCATCGTTGGTGCAGAACCTCGCTGTCTAGAGGCGGGATGTTACGGCTCGTGGACCGAGACGGAATAGAGAGACGGTAACTTGATTAAGACCCATCTATCGGTTTTTCGTCGCCATTAAGTGGACTGCTCTAGATCCATGGTGGCTGAAGGTATTCCTCAACGACGAACCTAGGACCCCTTGCCTCTACCCCCAATCCCACCTGAGTACTCGATGTAGAGGTAGAAGCGAAGATGCTGGGTTAGTGAGGGGACATGATGAGCCCGAAAATGTCGTCCGAGGCTTCGTGGTCCGAGTCTCAACCGATGGATTCTAGACAAAAGGGTGCTCCGAGGACCCGAATCTCCAACGAACCGTCCTTCCAGGTATTGGTGAGGGCCTGAATGGCCAAGTTAGGAAGAACTTCCTATCGTAATGAACTGCCTTACTTCATAGTTAATGACTTGGCCTTGCTCTTCCTAGTCATGAAAGTCGGTCGCATCGAACAAGCAGCTTGAAATCTTTTCAACTATTTTGGCGAAATCACCTCATGACAACTCCCTCAGCTTCAACATCCACCGACACAGCCACCCAGTAAGCCAGCTACAACTTACACAAGCCCAGCAACACAATATGGATCGTCTCAGACGACTGCTCGTTCATCACAACCACCGTCTCTTCCAACGTTTTCGAACGGAAACAACAAAGTCGTCCTCTGCAGACAACGCTTCACCGATCCAGTCCCTCCCAAACGAGATCCTGTACCAGATACTCAGTTCCCTCCCGCTACACGACGAATTCGCTCTCTCTCACACATGCAAAGGTCTTCGTGTCCTCACGCACAGGGACTGGACCCTCGCCCTTATCTCACTCCCTCGCAACCACAAACTCGCCTTCTGGACGGGCCTCGCTTACACCAAGCCGAACCACTGGGTATGCAGCCCCTGCTGCCATCTTCACAGGATTTGTGCGCAAGATATCCCCGGAGCCAAGAGCCACAACCCCTTTCCCTGCCAGCAAAACTCTCGCCACATTTTTAATCCGAAGAACTACAATCTCCGGCATGCGCACGTACAGCTCGCTCTTAAATTGGCTCGTATGAGTGATAGCGGAGGAATAGACAAGAACCAGCAACAACTCCTCGAGGACATCATGGCGCCATTCACATCGCGAGTAGACGTACCTGCAAACCTCATCTCCACCACGAGCCGGTACGCCTTCACACCCAAGATTATCGAGGGCAGGTTCCTAATTCACATGGAGCACGAGGTCCGCGATAACCTCGAGGCCGGTTTGCTTCGGACGACCTGCTCCAGGCGCGTCTGTCCGCATCTGATGATCTTACTGGAGCCCAATGGACAGGTTTTGTTCGACGACGACGGTGTGAACATCAACCAGTGGTTGGGCTGGGGCCATCCCCGGTATGTCAGTAGATACATGGCGTCCTCGGATGTCATGGACGGCATCCGCGTTGCGGTGGACGGGCATGGGTACGAGCCGATTGGCCACTGCAACCGTTGCGCGATGGATTACACAATCATTGCGTCGCACGGTGTTGTGACACTTCACTCGTGGCATGATTTGGGGGCGTATGGGTCACCTGAAAGTAACGAGTGGATGGTGCATATTCAGACGGCGGAGAATGACTCTTCTAGGGGACCGACTGTATATCATGAGCTTGGCAGTGTGCAGCAGATGTACTTGGAAGGCTGATAGACACCTTGCATTATTCTGAGGTTGCCTAGCGTCAGCCTCTTTTGAAATGAGGTTAGTCCAGAATACTCACGTAGCTGCTCTGGTAAAAGTGTTACAACTCATGTCCTTGACCCTCAAAGTAAAGCAGCCAGCTTCTTGAATACAGTGCTATAGACTGAAATGCAGATCCCATCTATTATCACAGCGTCGTTCGTGCGCCATGCGTCCAAGCAAGTAAGGGTGCCCAGCTGGCTACTGCCAATGCTGACAGCTCAAGGACTCCGGCGGCAGAGGTCTATGTCTACACATAAGCAAAGTCTACTCCCAAACGATTCTCTAATTAAAAGCTCTCAAAGCCACGTCACAGCTTCTCCTGTCTCTTCTTCCGCTTCTCCATCCCAACAAAATACGCTTCCGCCTTGGCAAGAACCGTACCAAGCTCGTCGGTGATCTCCGCCCCGACCAAGAACTTCCTAGGCCCGTCCATCCGCTTCAAGACCGCCGTGCAAGCCACCGTCGACATGGTCGGCACCGGCTGTATGTACGTGATGTTCAAGTTCTGTGTGACCTGCGGCAGCATCGGCATGAACCCCAGCAACTTGTTGATGAAACCGATCGCACCCATGCACTCGTCGAATATGGCCGCGACAGCACCGCCGTGGCACCACTCCTTCTTGAGCGTGCTCAGCCCATGGCCGAGAGTCAGGAAGCAGCGGACCTTGGTCATGTACAATTCGTCGAGGGGCCGGCTATCAGGAGGGCTTCCGTCGGCGCCCGGTGGTGGCGAGGGCATGTGGAAGCAGCCGATGAAGAAGGGCACCGTGGCCGCGCTGAAGAGTGTGGAGCCCCAGAATTCAAAGATGCGATTATCTGGGTCGAATTCGCGGCTGACGAGGGGTCTGGCGATGATGCCTGGTTCCGAGAGCACTTTGGCGCACCACGGTATCCCTTGGAAGTGCGCGATCTGATCATCCCATGGTTCCGGCATGGTGAGGGAGTGAATGGACTGCTCAGATGAAGATCAAACTGAGCGAGTCAAGTTTGGAGCTATTTCGTGGTGCAATGGTGAAGATCACTTATCCTTCCGTAGCTACTACCCCGGAACATGATGTCTGGTAGGGTCAGGACAGTTCCTTAATAGGACAGCTCTCGCACCTGAAGAGAATCAGTAGAATTGACGGAGATTAAAGCAGGTGCAGCTGTCCGGAGTGTCGCGATAAGGTGAGTGATAGTCTGATTAGTGAACTTCAAGAAAGTTCTCGAAGGCCCATCAAAAGGCTAGGTTCGAAGAAACTTAGATAGATACTGCAGTCAATTTCTAGTTTCTGAATCGTCAGAAAATCAAAGGAAATATATGCCGGCAGACTCAATTTGTAGCATGTGGTGGCATGACCTTGGCATGAAGCTCAGTATCACTAATCAAGAACAGCATGTCAACAGGACCCCGAGCCGTGGCCGGAGTTTCTGATTGCCGTCACTGTAGATATACGAGCTTTCGACGTGGGTTATCCACTCAAAGTGTTATCTTATCTTAGATTGACACTACGTTTGCTGCTCTTGGATCCTCCGGAGTTGCGACATCTGGGACGCCAAGGTCGCCATCCGCTAGTCTTTAGATGTGAAAACTAATGGCGAAGCTGGCTTGTACAAGATTGCTTCCTCAACTTACAATATAGTTCTCGGCAGCCTGCAGGGTCTTAAATGCCTCAGGAAACCGAGATTTGGTGGTACACTCAAACGGAACCGGGCGTCTGGCATCCAAAGTCAGCGACAGCAACAAACTGGTAAGAGTACAGGGGTATCTCACACAACGACACCGTCATCGACACATCCATCAACATCTATAGGGACATTCAACCCATCGTATCCCACCTTCGGCTCAATCTTCATCGCCCAAAGCACCGTCGCGATAGTGATGAAGAGATCCTCATTCGCAATCTGGCGCCCGACGCACAACCGGCGGCCAAACCCAAACGTGACGTGGCCCTGTTCTTTCGTCTCCGCTGCCAGCGGCTTGAGCTGCCCAGTCTTGGGATCGAGGAACCGAGCTGGGTTGAAGTGATGGGCGTCCGGGCCGTACGTGTGCGGATCGCGGTTCATGGCCCAGACGTTGGGGATGAGCAACGAGCCTTTTGGTATAAAGCAGCCTTCATACCATATGTCCTGTGAGAAAGAGTCAGGTTACTGAGAGATTGTAGACGCAAGGCTGTGACTTACCTCGGAGCTCTGATGTGGAAGACCTATTGGATCGACTGGTCGCCACCGAAGTGACTCCTTGACCTGGACAAGTTCAATCGTGAGCGATGTCGTTTTACGCGACAGAGAGGAGTCTCTGAAAATCCGACAACTCACCATGGCTTGAATGTAAGGTAGCTTTCCGTAGTGATCGGCAAAGTTCGGCATCGCCTCGCGTCCCACGACGCGATCCAGCTCCTCCTGGGCGAGCTGCTGCACCTCGGGGTAAACGACCATAGCCAACATCCACCACTCGAGCACGCCCGTGATCGACTTTGCCCCGGCACTGGAGATATTTTGTCAGAAAATTGATCACATCAAAGAGGGTCGGTATACCTCGTAGACGGACTTACATGACGCTCGCCGCGAGCCAGTTGATTTCCGTGTCGGATAAGTTGCACCGGCTCTGGTCCTTGATGAAGCTTTTGACGAGACAGTTGCCGCCATTGACACCTCTCTGCAAATGTTTTCAGCACACAGAACTTCCAAAAAGACAATAGGGGTCACCCATGCAATACTCACAAGTCTGGCCTCCTCGAACCAACTTCCAAAGATAGCAGAGTCCGCCGCAAACGAATCCTCCACCCGCCTCTTCCAAGGCGCGAATCTAGACAGAAAACATCAGCATCCTCATCACCGCCGTAGTGATTACACTGTCCAATCTGCCAAATAAACATACTTAGATGGTACATGTCTCAACCAAGGGAAGACCTGACTCAAATGCGCACCAGGCAGCGCAGCCTTGGTCAACCGCGCGACAAAGTCCTCAAGCCAAACCAGCTTCAAATCGCTGGCCGACGCGAGGGAAGGCGTGCCGTATACCAGGTTCATGTTCGCCGAGGATATCGCGCGGTGTAGGTGCGACAGCCAGTCCCGCGGGTCCTTGAGCATGTCCGCCGCCAGGAGTGTAGCCTCCTTTTGCTGGACGAGGCGGATGTCTGGGAAGGAGATGCTGCGGAGCGCTGTGTGGGAGGCTTTGCGCATGCGCAGCCACCTGGAAGTTCGTAGTGAGCTTTTCTGCTCTGCTTCCTTTGTGGATGTGTGAATGTAGGGGGCCATACATTGCGTTCTGGCTCTGGAAAGGCACGAAGCAGGACCCCGTCATCATGTCTATGATGACGTTACCGGGCCGGTCTGCTGTGACGGCAGCGCGACGATCCAAGATGTCGAACGAGGTCTTGAGGTCGTTGAGGACGACTACATCGCTTCCGGCAGCGGTGAAGTGCATGATGGTGCCTGATTTGGGTCGTGTTAGTTGGTTAGCCCGTGGAGGGAAACGCGGGACGAGCATACCATACGTCTTCATCCAGCCGCCAAAAGTCAGCCACGGATCTTTGAGGACGTCGAGGGCGTTTCCGAGGAGGGGCAGCCCTCTCGGGCCTGGCGGAAGACGCCGTCTCGGGCTTCGAGCGTATGTAAAGACGAGAAGGAAGACCGAGACCACGGCGAGAGCCGTGATGGACCTGTAAGTCCACAAGAGACGTAAGAGAGCATCGGCGAACTGCATTCTGGCGGTCATGAATTCTTTTCAGCGAGGTGAGCTATCACTGATGGCGAGCCATTGTTCCCCTCTTATGTAGCATAGGTGCTTTCTCTTGATAGATCTCATATACGGCCAACAAGCCAACATAGGGCCAGGCTCCGCCGGACTTGCCGGCTTTCTCAACATCACCGTGACCAACGCCCTAGCCCGGTAGCCGTTCCAACAGAGCAAACAGTCCAGCGTAGAAAGTGTTCAGCTTTCATAGCCTCTAGAATGTCTCGCCACTTGCATCCAATAGAGTCCTTAGATTCAAGAGTCGAAACATCGGTCGACGATGCGCTGCCATACAGGCGGAATAATTGGCCTGTTGAAAGAACGACCCTCCCACGCAGGGAGGCTCAAGGACTAGATTCTCTGCTTTTCCAAAGCGATTCTTGCCCCCTTTCTCAGCTCGGGTTCATCGTGGGCCGGAGATATGCGCCGGACTTGAAGCTTCTGAGCTAGAGATTTCAGGGTTCTCGATATAAGGCTACGGCAGAGGCGTTGTCAAAGGTACATTAGTACCTAATTAGTCCCGGGTTTGTGAGTTGTTTGCTCCCTGCGCCTCTGTATCTCTTATTGCGTGTGAGACCTGGCTGGATCACTTAGGTCCCAGCCAGCCTGCTTTTCCCCGTTGCGAAAGGTACGTTGTGGCTTGAATGCAGGGATGAAGCAACTCTCTCCCAGACCGGTTGAACCAACAGCGGAGCTAACGATAGCCTGATCCGGGACCCGTTGATCTGGCCAGGTTGTAGTTCTCTACCAGAAATCGACTCCAGCAAACACATCTAAAGCCATTGAACCAATGGCGTGGTACAATTCGGAGGGGCTGAAGATATGGAGGGCTAAATACTCAGGTGTGGGCAGCCTCAGTAATTGACTGTGTCCAATCCTGTTGCGTTCCGTGGTTCCCAACGCTTGTTGGTCGCTACCCGCGAGCTAGGTATGCGAATGTTTGTCAAACAATGCACTTCAAAGAAGCTAGCGTCTTCGTTGGACACCACCTTTTTGTGTTGGAACCTCCCTATTGGAAATGAGGGATTTGAGACATGGCCGCGAGGAGCTACTTCACACGGAATGAGAGCCCTGGGTGCCCGGGCCGCCAAACCACGAGCCGCCAAACCATGATCCGCCTGGTGCCTCCGGCTTCCGGATCGGCAGCGCCTCCACTTCCCAATCGGAGCGGAACCCAGCGCGGCCATGTCAAGCCCGGGCCGAAGGAGCCCTGCCCCATCAAGCTCTGCGGATCAAGGTCCGCCGCACTCCGGTAACGTGTGTATGTCGGCGGAAAAACCAATCAAATTCTCTGGTCCACGTCGGCGCGACGCCGTGTCGGCCTCAAAAGGGAAACGTATCCAAACCGTATCTTCAACGTAAGTTTCCTCTATTATGGAGGAAATACCATTGTCAGGCACAAACGGAACGTTGAAAAAGACTAAAAGAACCAAAACGAGTCACTCGCAAACCCAAAAGGCTACACCCAAGACTGTCGTTCCCGCTTTACTGAAGAACTCAAATTTCGCCCTACCTCACCCTCTCTCGGCACACTCAACCTTTTCATCGTCAAGAGAGGGTGTGTACATGTTACCAAGAAGGAAGTAAAGGCGAAAAACAAGGCAGAACTTAAGTAGAAAGCAAAAAAAAAAAAAAAAAAAAAAAAAAAAAAAAAAAAAAAAAAAAAAAAAAAAAAAAAAAAAAAAAAAAAAAAAAAAAAAAAAAAAAAAAAAAAAAACATAACGAGAAAAGGAGAACGGCCAAGATGTCAGTTCACGTCGGGTCGTCCCCGAGACTCAGACGGGGCGGCACTTGTCCAAACCTTGGCCCTCATCTCGGGACGTTGCGTTGCTTTTGCTTCAAAGGATGAGGCGAAACTTCTGACATTAGCCATTTTGCCAACTTTTGCGTTCTACCCGCAGACGCCGCGATGCAAGTAAACTCGGGACGACAGCAGCCACGCCCCTCGGCACCGACCGAAAGAACCAAAAAAAGTGATGACTTCTCTACGGTGCGTTAGTTAAGTTCTGTGTTTCCCGACGGAGAAAACACGGACTTTTGACCTTGAGCGGCTCGCCGAGAAGGGGTACCTGAGGTAGATGAGTGGACTCGCGATTCAGTTGCAAGGTTCTGGTACCTGCATCATCACGAGCGAATATGACAAGGTAAGGTAAAGTAGGCGTGAGAATCCGCGCAACCATAAGGTAAAGATCGATAGTAGAGGGCAAAAGACAAAGGGCAAACAACCCGAAACCATGTTGCGGAAAAGTGCGTAAAAAAAAAAACATGATCCCGTTCCTAGACGAACTCCGACATACAGAATCTTTCATCTGTTGAAACCCTGAATACGGTGATTTGGAGGGTGGAGTTGACCTTCTTATCGTTGCACTTGCTCATTCAGTGGTACACTTGCGAAAACCGACGATAAATCAACTCGAAACCAACACGCTGAAAGCCAAAAGGGAGATGGGGAAAAACGGGTAAAACGGCCTCGTAGCAACGGACGGGAATAGGGAAGAACAAAAAAGCCAAAAACAAAAAGCGAAATTAAGCCTCAAGTCAGGTACAACTCTCAAAGTTCAAGTAAAAGAGTCATGGGAATAAACCTCCCGACGCAAGCCCAATCAAGACCACCTTGCGCGCGCGTATGTGTGTGTGTGTGCGTGTGTATGAGAAATCCCAATCGCCGAAACCAAAGAAAAGACCTCAAGATTAAGCTCCCCAAAGGCAGAAATAAACATCAATCAATCTCTCTTCTCGCCCGCCCTCCTTCCGAAACGTTAAAAAGAAATCTCCTAATTAATATACCTCCACTAATCCGTACCCTACCTTAGCTGCTAAGGCCCATTGCCCCCTCCCACGAGACCTCAAACACCCCCTTCCCCAGAACCCTCCCGGCACCACACGAAAAGTGCCATCCCAACCCATGACACATGCCCCAATCCACAAACCACAGGTACCCAGATTCTAGCCTCGACTCGTGACATCACAAGCCCGGACCTTGAGCCTCAAGCCCTGTATTCGCAAATATAAGTCTGTCTGTTAAGGCTGTTCTACGGTACCGCAAGCCCCCCCCCCCCCCCCCCCCCCCCCCCCCCCCCCCCCCCCCCCCCCCCCCCCCCCCCCCAACAACCAAAAACACAAACAACAAACCCCCCTTTACCACCCCCTCCCCCTCCCCCCCCCCCCCCCCCCCCCTCCCCCCCCCCCCCCCCCCCCCCTCTTTCGCAAGATCCCTTCCATCCGTCCCAACTCCGACACCACAAGAAGAGAAGAATCGACAACGTGAAACACGTCTCAACTCTTCTTTACCCTATTTTCCTCCCCCTCTCCCATGGGCCACACCCCCTCTCAGACCTGCCAAGTCGAACGCCAGTCTCCAACCCACGCACACTGATCCCACTCAATGGCACGCGACGCTGGAGAGTCCAGCTTAGTCATGTACAAATCCCTCCCATCAGGCCTACCAAAAGACACCCCCAAAACAAGCAGACCAGGCACCCTAGACACCAACCCCAGCGCATAACACGGCCCCCCGGCCGAGACATGTGCCCCCCCCATCATCGCGACACGCAGATCAGACGCCGCAGCTCGGACCGCAGCTCGGCACCGCAGCTTTCACTGTGCAGGTTCATCAACATCAGAGAGAAAGGACGTTTTGCGCAGTGTTGCCGGTATACCTCCTGCCACCCCGACTTTCACCAAGATGGGGTGACATCGTGACGTGTCATCTGTTAGTGGATCGCGGAACTCCTAGACAAGATATCACGACATGTCGAATCAGTAAGAACCAAAGAACCAAGCAAAAGTAATCCAAAAAAAAACTGTGTGCACTCTCTACTGGAATTGTGTCTTCCATTTCTTTCCAAGCCATGCTGCGTATCCTGTCAACGGAAAAACAACTCCCTCTAAATGTACAGAAAGGTCGGATCGTAAAGATTTTGTGTCATGGTGATGAGGTGATGAGATGTGTGTGAGGGTTGTCGGGGAGAGGGGGACATTAGAACAATAATATAGAGGGGGAGGAGTTTGCCAGTGTTGTCGTTGATGATGTGTGAGTGTGTGGTATCGAAGCACGGGGGAGCGCTGGTTTTCATCAAACAAAAGAAAAAACCATCCACGCCAACCTGCTCATCTAATAACCTCCTGCCAGTTCGTGTAGAATATAACAACCCCAAGAAATTAAAAACAGAAAAACACCAGAACACTTTTTGGCGACCCGGGTGAACCCAAAAGCATGGAGACTTGTCGTTGTATGTGATGTAAAAGGCCCGTGTTGTCCGTATCAGCGCGCGCGTGCATATCCCAATAATCCCTCGGTTGTTTGTCGTCCTTGTCGTCGAAAGGCATTCCGATTATGAGAGCTCCTGGATGCAGGTCTGAACCTGGGCATCACAGTCGGCCGTGGTGACCCCGTTCAACTTTCCACCGTTGAAAGCATTGAAACAGGCATTCCGTTGAACATCGCAAGCACGCTGCGCCGCATTGGCCTTGGAAACGAACGAGTTGCCATTGACGGAGAATGGTCGGCTGCTATCGCCAGAGTCCGAGACCGCCGGGGCCGCGATTCCGCCGATAGCGTTCGACGTCGCGCCTCCCTTGCCAGATCCAGAAGAAGTGTTACCGTTGCCGTTCTGTCCGGATCCATTGCTGTTGGCCTTGCCATTGTTGGAGGCACCTCCGCCCTGGGTGGGCGTTGGCGTCGCTGCCGCCGGGTCTACCGAAGGAGTCGCCGTCGCCTTCTCCGAATTACTGGCGGCGTCCCCGTCCTGGCCGGAGTTGTTAGCATTGGGAGCTCCCTGTGTGTTTCCGGTCTGGGGTTGTGCTGTGGCCTGTCCAGGGGGTGCGCTTCCAGGGAATTGAGGAAATTGGCCGGGGAATTGGCCTGGGAACTGTGTGTTTGGAAATCCTTGAGGGGGGTTCTGAGGTGTTGCTTGAGCATTACCTTGACCAGCGCCTCGTCCAGCACCGCCGCGACCGGCACCTCCTGCAGCACCGCCTGCAGCAGCGCCGGCGCCTTGTCTGCCTCCGGCTTGCTTACCTCCACGGGCAGCTCCGCCCTGGTTGTTGTCTTGTATCCGTTAGTACATCAACGAAACATTGAAGTATCACTGGTCGACTTACTCTGCTGGCCTCCGTTGGCAGCGTTGCCTCCGTTGGCAGCGTTGCCGCCGTTGTTGCCACCTCCGTTGTTGTTGCCACCGCCGCCGTTTCCACCAACGGTGAACTTGTTGCAGTCATCCTGGGCACCACGCTGAGCGACGGGCATCAGAACGGGCTGATGGTTGGAGGCACTAGACATGGTGCAGACGCGGTAGTTTCCGGCGGGGAGACCTCCAGTGACGGTGGCCTTCAGGTTACCATTGCCATCGCCGGCATCGTTGATGCCCTTGAAGAAGACAAACTTGGAAGCATCCAGGGGAGTGTTGGGCGTCAAGGAGTTACCCATATCCTGAACAGTGACGTGAACGTGGCCGATAATGGTACCGCCGCCGCTAAGATCCTGGGGAGCCGAGTAGTAGGTAGACTGAGCGTCAGTGAAGGAACCGGCTTGCAGGTTGTTGACCTTGAGCTCGACATCAAAGTCCTGGTTGGCCTGGATGTTGCCGTTGTGAGGGGGGTTGTTGATGACGGTAGACACCATCTTGGTCTGGGCGGGGATCTTGCCCATGGGGATACCGTTGCAGGAACCGCCAGTCTTCTGCTCACCATCGGTGAGGGTAGAACCGGAGCAAATGTTGATGAAGTTGGCATTGTCGCTGCAAGGCAGTAGGTTAGCGCGTTTCGGGGGTTGCCTGTGCCGTGTATGTGTCAATACTCACGTCTTCGAGTTGGCCTGTTGGGCGTTGGGCTGTCCGGCCTGCTGCGAACCCTTTTGCACCGCGTTCGTTTGCAAACACAGAGCTCCGTTACCAGCGTTGGCATTTCCACCCTGGTTTGCGTTTCCACCTTGGTTTCCGCCCTGTCCACCACGGTTACCACCACGTTGTTGACGCTTGGCGAGGGCGGCGCTCAAAGGCGAGGCATCGAGGAAGGCGACGGAGGCCTCGGCGACGACGGCCATGCCCGCGAGGGCAGTGATGAGCTTTTGAATCTGCATCTTGTCTCTTTCTTGTTGATCGTTGGGGGTAAATCCGAGGGAGTTGTCGACCGAGTCGCTATCAATAAAATACTAGATTGTCGTTCGAAAGGGGTTGGTTCCAGACCGAGGAGCGAACAAGAGTAGAGTACGAAAGGAACGGTCACAGACACCTGAATACGTAGCACAAGCTGAAAAGAAATGAATGAATGAATGTGAAGACACACTCCCAGCGTGAGGCAACAGGATGAATGGAAATAAAAGTAAAGGGTGGAAGGCGAAAAGAATGATCGAGACTGAGCGCTGCTGGGGATTAAGAAGGGAGAGGCCGAGACAAATATGCGATCAGTGCCAAGCTTTCAAGTCTTATATGCACAGGGCTGTGGTTGCAGGCTGGTGCCGGTTCGACCAAGGGGTCGTATGAACGGAGACAGGCTCCATGACGGCTTGGGGGGGGAGGAATCGTCTCCACGAGTCCAAAACGCGGCGCAGGGGAGATGGGAGAGGAGGAGAAGAAGGAGGAGACAAGGGCTGACAGGAGCCCGTCTGCAGACTACCTAGTACCTAGCCATACACCATACTACTGAGTATACCTTACGGATAGTACACGGCTCAAACTGTTGGCCGGGGGTGTGAGTACATGGATGCTGCTTAGCATCTGATCCCCGTGCGGGCAATTGGCAGGCCCGCAGTGGGTGACGAACCAGGGGGTGGGAAAAAGGTGATGAGGGTCTGTCAGCTCTCTATGAGAAGGTGACCGTCGAGGGATGAGAGAGAGAGAGAGAGAGAGGGACAAAGAGACTAGGTAGGTAGCATCTGTCTGATGAGATGGTGTGCGACAACTAGTTGACAAGGGCAGACGCCTCCAGGCTCCGAGAAAGTAGGAGGAGGAAGAGTAGGGATGATGGATCGGGGGGTTGAGTGAAGAGACGGGATAATAGAGATCTGAGCTTTGGCAGGGGTGGTCGAGTTTAGCTGCATGGATGGGACGGGAACGGCGACAAAGATGTTGGTCAGAGGCGTAGTGTATGAAGAGTCTCCGTAGTGTAAGGAACGGACTACTACGTAGTGTACGGAGCAGACGGATAGAAAAAAGAGAGACAAGCTACAGATGAGCAGGGGATGTCGTTGTCCCAGACTGGGAGAGGGTGGGCACCCTTGACGGACAGTTCCCGACTTCTTCAGGATGGCAGGTAACGAAGTTGAGTCGAACAGGGCGGCTCGGGTAACGTCAGTGTGGTGTCTCTAGTCCCTGTGGCAGGTATCTACCACTCTACCACACAAGTATTGGTAGGGGTTCAAGATGCGAGGCAAAGAAAAAAGGTTGTTGGCACCAGATGTGGACGACAGTAAGAGACTACGCTACGCAGTAAGGTGAGGGTAAGTAAGGTATGGCAAGGGTAAGGATAAGGTAGTTGGAAGGAACCCCCCTCGTCCGGTGGTGGCTTGTGCCGTCGCGAGGTCTGGGAAGGTCTGATGCGGCTCCTGTCGTCGCAGAATGGGGTCATGGAGTCCCCACTTGGCCCCGGCGCGGCTTAGCGAGCCAATGGCGGGGCCTGCTGTCCGGCACATCAGGCAAATGGCGTTTCGCCCGAGGCGTCGATGAAGCGAAACGAGACACTGGACGACATTTTCGTGTCCTTGCCGTCTCTTAAGCGCGGCACTGTACGGAGTGCCTCGTCGCCGTACTCGACCAACGTATTGTCACCGTCCAAGATACCGACCGCACCAAGGTGAGTTTGTGAGGCGCCTACCTTACTCTCCACAACCACCCGCAAATGCTCCATTGCTGGCTATCTGAGCGAAGCCTCCTCCGTCCTAATTTCCCTGGAGCACTGGCAAAACTGGCAGTTCGCTCCTCGATGCCTGCACTGTCGCACGTCAAGTTGCACTCATCAGCTGGCAGGTTTGTGACCGTTAGGCCATGTCCGTCAGGACAAGCATCTATCCATCCGTATTTCCCACGGACCGTTGATACTTAGGCACGTAGTGGACCGATATGTGAGAGCCACACCCTGTCGAGACAAATGGCACACCGAACTGCGGATGCGTATGCAATTGATTTTGGCTCTTGAGCCATGAGTCGTCATGGGTTTAGCTCCTCATGCTAAGCCTTTGAGGATCGGCCATGATTTGCCTCCGGACGCTGGCTTTCCTGAGAGGCCTGGCACGCCTGTATTAACGCCAAGACTGGCCACGCAGAGGCAAAGCTGGTGCTGTTTGCTGACAGCGCACACACATCATCATGTTCGTGATGGGGTTCTCTTGATTGACGTTACCGCTTGAAGATCCCCCGAGCCGTGCTGTGTTTCTTTTCCACGCTGCTTCTGCGGGTACCAGCGACACGACAACGGTCTCAAGCTTGGCCGGGAGAAAGCGGCAATGTGGATGATTGGCAACGGACCGTTTAGACGGGTGAGACATGCCGTGCTAGTGCGACCGCTGGCCAGCTACAACAGAACATTAACATTGTCAGTCGACCATCGGTTCTGGCGGTTCTACCCATCGATCAGTTCGTGTCTGTAATTGCGCATGAGAATGGAAGCGCCCGTCTAATTCCGGTGAGCGAAATGCAACGCATCAACTCCACTGCATTTCGTTCCACTTCAAAGCTTGCCCTTATGGATTCCGTCCCGCAGATAAGGGTGGGATAGTGTATCGTGTGCCTCGTCTGCATCGCGAGCGAATGCCTCGTATCATGTATGTACTTGGCCAGAAGTGCACGGAGGCTTTTTGTCGGAAGGGCGGCGGAGTCCATCCAAAAACCTAGTTGACTTTTCTGCCGTTTTGCAGAATGTGGAAGCAAACGAGAAGCACCTCGCATACGGAGAACCTAGGATATGTACGTTGGCGTTGCTGGTCGGAATGTGGAGTTGGCGAAGCGAGCGGAAAACCAAGGTCAGCAGCGGGCGCGCAGTAATGATGGCATCAAACATCCAATAAACTTAATCTGTTATTCGGCAAGTTCGGATGACGGCAAGGCCCCCTGGGATGACCGGTCACGGTACCGTCGATTGTCGGTTTGAGAAAAGAGGGCGAGCAGCAAAGGGGTTTCCAGGGTGAGTGGGCGAGGGAAAGGGGAAAAAGAAAAAAAAACTTGAACTTGTCGGTGTGGTCCACCGTACCTTACTGCGGTTGGAGCTTCGGGGATGATCTTCCTCCCGTCAAACGTTGAGTGCCAAGGAAACCCATGAAGTTGCCGAAGGAGGAGTCGAGCAGTGTTCGTACTTGATGGATGGGGTAATGCAAGAAAATGGAAGGTGCGCAAAGGAATCGAGAAAGACACTACTATCTACCTACCTACCTGACTACGGAACTGTGGGATTGGAAGGTGCGCCATCTCCTTTCTACTGGTGCCTCACCTTCCATTCCAAGATCAAAACGGAGGCACGTACCTACCTAGGTACGTAACTTGACTTATCTACATGTATCGTTCCGGACACTTCCAATTGCAACTGGAAGGGAAGCGTGGTGAAGTGAGAGGAGGGCACCTTCCACGTCCCAGCAGGAGTGCCAAGCGCCGTTTACACTCGGTACCTGCAGCGGCCCAAGACCCGTGGAGATCCACGACTCCACTTGGGTCGCCAAAACGGGAAAGGTTGATTATCTCATCCCCTCTTACCACGTTTAAGGTTGTCCTTAGCATCCCGCCCGCCAGAAACCCGCCCCACCACCGCAGCCCTGGAAGAATTGCAGGGGGAAGGGGTGTCCCTTGTCAAAGGTGTTGCTTCATCTCGAACCTCGAGTCTTTTCCCCCTCCCCCTTCTTCTCTCCCATATCATTGTCCACCGAATCCTTGGATATCTGCCACCCCAACCGTCAACGACGACACCAACCAACCTCCCACCACCACCTTGCACCGAGTTCACCCCTTCCCCCCCTTGCCACCTCGCTCGTTGGATAACCGGCCAGTCCTGCATCAGCCATCCGAGCAAAAGGTTAATCTGATCTTCCTCATGGCCAACCCTAGCGCGCGAGATGCTTATCCATGAGATGACGGTTTCGATTTTCATCTCGTCTACTATTTTCTGCTGTCAACCCAAGTGCTTGAGTCGAGAACTTTCCTTTCTGGGCTGCCAATTGTCGGACATTTTGCAAACGACGCTGAGTTTAATGCTATTGATCGTCCACACCTAAAGTTGCCCTACAACGTTTTGCTCACTGCACTGACAGATCCGCCATTGTCACCGTTGGAAACATATGCTCGGTCTTGATCCCGCCATCCAAACTTCTACTTTTACTTACGGATCCCACTGGTACCACATCGTGTGGATGACTGTGCCGGATCTTTTGATGGGTACGGACTGTCTTCTCGCCGATTGACACTCGAATGCGGCACCCACGGCCCACGGCACCACATGATGATGCCTTCGCGGCCTCGCCTGCGCCTGGAAACGAACGGCACGGCTCTACGGCTTGATGCTTGAAGCTGCATCGCAAAAGATCACCTGGCGAAACCTCGAATTTCCATAGACGCACCCGAATGACCGGCACCACGGCCGACGCCTCCCCCATATTCGTCTCATCCCTTCCGAGATCCCGTAAACGAGCAGATTGTTTCCCCCCTGAGATGCCATCCAATTCCAACATCAATTAAAGGGCTTGTCATCCATCTTCCCTCATCTGGATCCGAGCCACCGGGGTTGCTTGCGGTGGACTCGTGGAGTGAGAGTGTTAGTGTGTGCAGCGCCCCTGTCGCGAATCTCCACTCGCGCCAAGGAGGCGCACCATCCTGCGACACGAGGCTGAGTTTGAAGCCTGTGCCAAAAACCCAATGGTGAAACAGGTTCACCTCGACTTCCGTCCATTTGTCACTTGAGCCAACGGCGCAACCTCGTCTTCATCTTCAACTCGCAGGCATTCTCCTCGGATCCGGCATGCAGACCTGCCTTTCATCCCAGCTCGGGAAGACGAGTTGAAACCCGTCGACTGTCACAGAGGCAAACGCCTTGCGCTATCTATCGTCGCTCATTGCCTGCACTACGGTAACCACGCTCGCCCACGACCCCAGTCACCCAGCTCGGTTGAACCGTCATCGCAAACTTGAGATGCAGAACCCGAGCCAATCCCGTTGTGTCCACTGACATGCACACAGGATGCGCTTCCTCCGGCATCCAATCTCCTTGGATGTATTGCTCGCCGGGCTGCTCTCGGACCCCCGGCAAGGGCTGTCATCGAACTTCACTTGTCAGACGTCACCTATCATCCCAATTGCTGTCCTTTGCCGTCACGGCTAGACCTCCAACCCGTTCTTAGCCTGATTCCAAATTCTCCACCGCGAGAAGCGAAATGCGTTCAAGTCACGCCACTTTCTCGTTGCCAGGTAATGTTTGCCGACTACGCCTCTGGGAAACAGCTCTTCCATGTGAATCAAACTGGGCCGCCTCAGCCATTGCAGGCACACTCTTTGCTGACGAAGGCCCGGCCAAGAATGTGTCGCGACCAGTGTGATCAACATTATTCCGAGTCTCCTACCCAAGGCAACTTGACAAGTCTGTGAGCTGCCGCATGGCAGCTGTCACGATCTTTAGCACTACTACGGCAGATGAGCCCAAGGTGAGCCTCGTCTCGTCATTGATCATGTCATTACACTAGCTTGGCATCCAGAGATGTTTGCGACTAGGCTCTAAGTCACGAAATCAAATACACACAGAGGACCCCGGCAGGGCCAAGCTTTCACTGCATCAAAACACATTTTGCTGTGTGATAAACGAGGGTCTTGTACAGAAAGTCGCGCGCGGAGCAAACAGCGCAACATGCTTGGCGTCTCATCTCATAATCTTACAAGTCTTCCATGACAGGTTCGGCCGTCTTCGCCAGGTCTTGGTATGCCGCGGCGATGAGGTCCAGCCAAGCAGCCATTCTCACACCCGCGCGGGCGACCTGAAGCTCAATCACAGGTGCCGCCTTTTGGAAGTACTCGCCGCTAAGTTCTTGGCCGACAATAGCTCGCGGCCCCTCTGGGAATACTAATACAAGAGTCAGTTTTGACGTCGCCCTTCCGGTTTGTGGGGGGTCGCCGATGGCTCGGGAATCAACATACCATGGGTGCAAACGAAAGCGTTTCCCTCTCTCGCCCACTCTAGGCCGGTAGCGTTGACGTTGTTGAAGTCCAGACTCTTCAGCCACTCTGCCTTTTGCGCAGCAAACTTTCCAGTCTTGACCTCGTCAGCAAGCTCATCCGCCCATTTCTTCGCGTTGTCGTAGGGCCTCCGACGAGAGCCTCCTATCAGCTTTTCGGCAATGGAGCTGTCCCAGACGTGGTGGAGGTTGTAATCGGAACCCTGCCACTTAACGTGGATGCCGTTGCCTCCCCGGGCCACATCTTCGTTGTGGAGAGGCTGGTGCATGTCGCCGATGAAGTGCACGACGAACCTCGCCGCCTGGTTGCGTTCCCACCCGCTCAGCTTGGGATCCAGAGACCGGGCGGTGTAGTTTGCGAGTGCCGTCACGACGCAGCCTTGGTCTTTGCAATCCCGCTCGAGGTCGACGCCGCAATAGTCGGGCGGACTATCTTTGGCGTCGATAAAGTGGAAAGGCCCGGTGAAGTGTCCCCAGCGCGTGTACCGGATCGTATCGGCCCAAGTGGCGACGCCGGCAAGGTAGTGCTCGGAATCGTTACGCAGCAGGTCCTGGAAGAAGACTTCGGTTGTGTTGGCGACAAAGTGGCTGGCTAGATACGCAGTCGCAATGTGACCCAAGCCTGGTAAGTCAAGTCGGTCAGCGAGGCAACTTGAGACAATTTGCAGCTCAGGACCATTTTGAAGCTATCGTCGATGCAGGGAATTTATGACATACTCCCCCATGCAGCAACCCCGTGCAGCGATGCACCGAGCAGTGCGACAGTGCCCGAAAGCCTCATGATGGCTTGCGATTCTTATTGGTGAGTTGGTATGCACTGAGGTGCGATTAGGCTTCACTGTTTTAGGACTATAATTTGAGTCCGTCAATTTGACTGAATGACGACAAGCTAGACAGGAAACAGGACGGACGCGCGGTTATATGGGAGCTTGACGCGTGGTCGGGTCGCCGGTCTTGGGGACGGGAGCGATGCACGCCAGCTCACGTTACCTTCCAGGTTAACGTCAACACGGATGACTGGCGCTGAGCGGGCCGCTGGTGTAGGCGCCCGGCAGAGGTGAGTTGGCCGAGGAACGCCTGCGCCGGGGTGCTCGTCCGTGACCATCCACACCCGGTGCCGCCTCAGCCACGGAGGGCGAATCATGGCGGTGCACGGGAGGAACCACGTGAAACACCCCTTGGGAGGGGAATGCTGACGATCGGCGGATGTCCGGTGACTGCTGGAATGCGGAATTTCAGCCTATCTGATCGTTCGGTGTGCCTCTGCTCCTGTGATTGGAGGCAGATGGTTAGACTTTGGGTGACGCCTCGCGCTGCATGCATTCGAGCATGTTATCTGGGCCATGCGAACGGTTCATCTCGATATTGGTGCAGATGCAAATGCGCAGAAGCGTCTTGGAAGAATTACATAAGCCCAGGGTGTCAGCGACAGTGACAGCTTCAGCAGGTTGAGATGACCAAATCAGGACTCTTCATTGGCGCAACTCTCTCAGCTCGACCATTTTCTCCGTCATTGGGCCCCTCCGAAAATAGGACCTTTGCGGCGGTCAACCCGCTCTGCCCGCCAAATTCTTTCCAAGTTTTCCTGGAGGGACCCTTGCTGGATGCTCAACCCGCCCCCACTAATTGCTCTCTTCGTCAGCCCACACTCCACGACGCCAAGGTCGTTCTTGGTCTTTTGGTTATGTCATGCGGCGGCAGGGGTCTCTTATCGGTTGCGGTAGGCGATAAGGAATGCGATAACGGGGGAAAAGCAGAATGCTGAAATCGGATTGGACGAAATGTGGACGCTATCAGTCCCCTCTACCCGTGCCGCACCAACAATGTCTTGTCTGCGTGACTCTCCATCGAAGAAAACCATCCCACTTGACCCCATTCCTAAGCCCACCTGACCGAGGAACGGCACAAGAGAGAAGAGCTTCCCCCAAAACCTATCTGTCGCTGCGGCTCTTCTTACCCGTTCTTTTCACCTTTCTTTCACGTTTGTTATCGTGAGCTTCACCAAGGTCGCATATCGAAAATACACATACAATGGCTTCCGTCGCGGTTACGGCCTTTGCCGCCTTATCGTCCACCCCGAAAGTCGAAGAGGCCCTGTCGGGAATCTTTGGCAGCATTAGCTTGACCGCGTGGATATGTCTTCTCGTACGTCCCTCTCTCTGTTCGTGAAGGTCACGCGACCTCGGATCACGACTCTTTTTGCCTGCTTTTTCTGTCCAAGTAGACTGACCATCCTTATCTACGCAAAATAGCTTCCCCAGCTTCTCACAAACTACAAGTCGCAAAGCGCTGATGGCTTGTCCATGGGCTTCTTGATCATCTGGTTGATCGGCGACGTGACGAATCTCATGGGTACGCAGAAAACATTACCTTCCCAGCTCCTCACTCTTTTTTCCTGGTGCTTTTTTGCCAATGTTCCATGGTATCTGCGCCTCGCGAGTTTCTCCCACACCGCTACCCTTCTCCAAGAGAAAATATGCGTCTCTTGTCATACCGAAAATTTCTCCAACCACAAACGCCAACACTCCCAACGCCATGAAAAAAAATTTAAACTTTTGGCGCGTGCTCCCACTAACAACCACCCCTCCAGGCGCTCTCTTCACCCACCTCGCTCCGACGGCCGTCGCCCTCGCAAGCTACTTCTGCTTCGCCGACCTCGTCCTAATCTCCCAATGCGTCTACTACAACACCAAGAACGCCCGCCGCGCATCCTCCCGCCGCCGCTCCTCCGCGCCCGTCACCGCCACCGGCGCGAACCCGACCGAAGCACGGGAAGATGAACCCCTCCTCTCAAACTCGGCACAGCGCCGCCGTAGCTCGTCCGCGGCGGCCGGTCTCCCCGGCTCGCAGCGCCGTCACGCCCACCACGAGGAGAGCTCGCTCGACCCCCTGCGCAAGATGGTCACCGGCGAGGACGAGACGCCCGACAGCAACCCCTGGCTCCACAACACCCTGAGCATCCTCGCGGTATACCTCGTCGGCGCGGCGGGCTGGTTCCTCTCCTACAAGGCCGGCGCGTGGGACGCCCCCGACAGCGACGCCGGCGCGGGCGCGGGTTCCCCCGCCGCGGCGGACGGCACCTGGGAGAAGATTGGTCTCGCGCTGGGCTACTTCAGCGCCGTGTGCTACCTCTGCGCGCGCATCCCGCAGATTATCAAGAATTACAGGGAAAAGTCTTGCGAGGGGCTCGCGCTGCTGTTTTTCCTGCTGTCGCTTACGGGGAACCTGACGTACGGCGCGAGTCTTGTTGCGTTTAAGCAGGACCGGGCGTATTTGCTCAACGCGCTGCCGTGGTTGTTGGGGTCGTTGGGCACGATGGTGGAGGATTTTGTGATTTTTGGGCAGTTTCACATGTATGCGACTAAGAGGGAGGGGAAGAGGGACGATGAGGCGTAGGTGAGTGGTTTGGGTTGCTTGGTGTGTTGAATGCATGGTGATGGGGTTGTGCTCTTCGCTCCGTTGTGAAGGGGATGCGCGTTGGGGATTTGCATGCTCACGGGTGCGGACTAGACGCATTCGAGGTGATGGTGTCAGGGTGACGCTGCATTGAGAGGAAGTGCGGACTGTATCATTACGGTTCTTTTTTCGTTTTCCTTTTGGGGAGCATCTTGTGTTCGACGTGGCGTTTACAGAGGTCTGCGGATTACATTGGGGTTAATTGCATGGTTATGGGGGTTTCTGTTTTCAACCCACTTGTTTACCATCATGATGGCACATATTATGATAGCTTTTTTGCCTTTTCTTCCTACGGTTCTGAATATTCCAAGAATTTTTACACCTTCGTTGTTATGGTAATATCCCGTGACGGTCGTTGATGCGCTAGTGTCATGTTAGAGGTAGGGTACTTGAAGCCGATGATACCCGACTGCAGTACCTCGCTCCAAGACCACGGATAGAGTGGCTCTGGAGGCTGGTGTTGGGAAAGAGTGAACGTGACTTGCGTCCCATGTAAAGAGCTCTTTTCCCCGGTGACGAAATTCGTACGTAAAAGTATAAGTCGCACCCGGGATAAATGGGTTACGTAAGGAGCACAGAGGGGCGGGGGAGGTGAAGGTGTGGATGAATGGGTTGAGGCTCTGCTTTGATGAGAGGTATGCGACGCGGCTGCCTACGACGGTCATCCCTGGAGTGCCGGAGTCGCCGACGGTGGTGGACGGTGCTCGGGGACGGAGGGTTCCCGCTTACGCAGTACACTGCACAACGTGAAGCGAGGTCCGGGTCGGGAGGTTGGACTTAGGCTGGAACGGAGGTAAGTTTGACAGATGTTGGGGATGGTGTCTGTGGCTGAGCTTGAAGGGGTTAATGTAGCGTAATCGTGGACTTGTGATTGATTCCGCGCGTGATCGTAGTCAAGAAAAGTATTCAACACTGAGTTTGCAATGTCGACAATGGTGTAGAGAGATACTGCAGAGATAGCAGTAGGCGTTAATATGCTGTTGAGACCTTATGACATGACGGGGCATCTCTATTGAATATTCTTGATGGAGATGAAGCTCTGATGACGGATCTTTGACATTACATGGAAGTCCTTTGAGGAGTTTTAACACTTTAGCTTCCGCGAGAAAGGCACTTGAGTATGCAGAGAATTTGGGGCATCGTAATAAAATACATTGTGAGCGTATCTACTAATAGCCAAACACCGACCTCCATCTCCTTTCAAAAGGTCTTTCTCAGCCGCTTGGTCAATTTGCTTTATAGGTACGCAATACATTGATACGACCGCATATAAATTACGAGCGGGCTCCGTTCTACGAGTTCAACAGCGCCAAAGTTAATATTGTACCACGACAGCCGGCTGAACGGCTCGCACTGGTCGTTCCACTGCGAGGTGGTGCTTGAGTGAGTTTCTGGTCATCATCATCCGCGGCGTCGTCATTATCCTCGTCATCATCGTCCTCGTTGACATCGTCCTCATCTTGATCCTCATCCTCGTCTTCCTCTCCGTAGTCGTCGGTCTCGATAGAGGGTGTTACGGTCGAGCAATCTGCTGGTCTTGACATATCTCCTTCTAGACTCTTGATTTGCGTGCTAAACTTGCGTTTGCGTAAGGAACTTCTCTTGTTGAGAATAATGGGCGCACCGGATCTCCCTTCCGATCACTGCCCGCCCTCTCAGCATAAGCTCCGAATATACCTCCAGAAGGGACGAAGGGATTCGAAAGACACTATTTGTTTGGAGACATCATGTTGGGGGGCATGAGACGGCCGTCATTGGATGCTATAGAAAGCTCGCCTCAATGGATAATGCCGGATCAGTGACCTGATCCTCGTAGATAAGGAACGCGCGTTGCTAGAATAGAAGTCTTGTTGTCCAGCTCTTCCATTCAATTATGCTCATGTCTCATGCTGAGGCTGGCCCCGCAGGCTTCCTGGCGTAGATGGAATGGCTGCTGTCATTAGTCGAAGGTCTGGGGGTACCTATAGAAGTGGACTGGAACTTACACCGGGAAGTACGCATGAATGCTTCTATCACTAAACTCCTTGCGCACCTGCATCATGAGTATCAAGACCTCCTCTCTGGACCAATTCAGGGCTCTAGTAAAGGGTGCCATGCAGAAGCCCTCCCAGCCAGCAACCAGGTTCTCGTGGCACCATGCGCCGAGCTCCTTGTGTCTGGCGTCTTTAGCCCAGGGATTCGTCGGCCACTTGTATTTCTGAATAGTCACGTCTTCGAAGCCAATGTTTGTCAGGATCTCCTTGAGCGCCTGCGCGTTGTGGTACGGGCGACCGAAGAGGTTGGCGGCCTCCTCGAGCATGCGGACGGACTTGAGAATGGCGGAGTCTTCCTTCAAGGTACCATCGTCGGACTGCGGGCAAGCATCAATCTCGTTGAGTTCGAGGTATCCCCCAGGGTTGAGGTTACTACCAACGTCAATCAAAGCTTCAGAAGATAAAGAATCAACCAACTTACTCGAAGCAGGTTCGTGTATAGTCCTCCCAATTCTTGATCGAAGATGTCATGACTCTACTGTGTATGTAGTCGAAGGGCCGGGAGTAGGTCCAAGTATCTTCAATGTCGTCAATCTCGAAGCGAACGTTGGGAGGGGTGCTGCAGGTTATTAGTCGCCACATCACAGCAGTTCGAGACCCATGATAAGGTGGTAAGGTAGAGTAACTTACTAACTTGGCCATGCTGCAGATAAGTCGACGCCAAGGACCTTAGGTACTTCAGCATATTTGACTGATGTAAAGAAAGAACGTTCGATTTACCTCAGCTTCGGGATGCTCATCGCCAAAGTCAATTGCCCAGATACCAGTTCCCGTACCAATGTCAAGAACCCGGTTCACAGCCGAGGCTTGAGCATCGGTGTTAGGTGGCGCAGTCCCAAGCTTATTCTCAAAGGTGAGGAGAAACATGTTGTGCGTCAAGTCTGTATGCGCAGGCTACAGTTAGTCTAACGGAAGTCCTCGAGATTCGGTGAATCGAATTGGTCATCAGCTCATACCGAGTCGATCAAGCTCCCGCTCATCATTGGGCATAGCATATTCTACGTGAAGGAGTGAGTCTTGTATCAAAGTCAGACGGTTCCACACGGCTCGATACTCACTGCCGTCTTTGTACTTGTGATATGTCCGACCATTCTCAATCCGATAGTCCAAAATTGAACTGTTCACACTCGTACTTGAGGAAGCCACGCTCTAATTGCTCAATATTAGTCCTTCGGCTCACAAGAGATGTACCAGTTGAGACTACACTGACGGGTCCGACCAACGACTCGCCGTCATCGTCAATCTATGGATGTTAGCGATATGATCAGGAAAGGCGCTTTCCAAATGTTCCGACCTCATCGGGAAGAATAGTGCCGGTAGCATCATCGGCATTGTTTGGAGGCGAGTTAGGGGAAGATTTTGGAGAAGATTTGGGCGGAGACGGTGCCGCCCTCGCAACCTCTTGAGCTTGAGACATGACGATGTGGATACAGTAAAGACAGCCAAGGTTCTCTCTTTTCACCCTCTTATTATATGTGGTTTCCCCAAGGATTGCCAGCCATTCTTTACCCCTCTCTTGGCGCGTGATAACCATGCAGCTCTGCAGCACGCAAGCTCGGTTGGAGCGGTTTCTGCGGGACCATTTCCTCATGTGGAAGGCGAGCGTTGTACAACCAACAGCAGACGAAACGACCAATGGCCGTGAGCATCGTTTCCCGGAGTGCACGATTGAGTGATGCACCGAGACCATTCTGTTTTTTCTCAAAATCGGAGCTCGTTAGTACTATCCTCATTTTGGACGTCGTAACTCCTACGTAAAGAATCTAGAAGACATATTCCAAGACCATGTTCTGCAAGACTATTCTCCTCAAACATTCTGAGGTCATTCCGTATAATCTGGGGGAACTAAGGGTGTCCTATGGTCTTCAAAGACAACTGACTACGGCCCGTCCAGAAACCTCTCCTTTCTCTAGCTGGGTCATGATCTCGGGAACATGCGAGAAGGAGAAGAGATCTATAGAAGCCCTGATCGTGCCCTTCTCAGCCGCCTGAAGCAGTTCCGTCATTTGCTCTTCCGTCCCGACCATGGCCCCCTTGATTGTCAGAGCTAGTGCGAACGTGTCAGCCTTCATCTTCCCTTGGAGCTTGCGGCCAGGAGCTAGAGAACATACCTTTCAGGGCACACTGAGCAACTGAGATGGGCAACTCAAAATCATTTCGGGGTAGTCCAACGCAAACGATCGTCCCCATCGACCTCAAAAGCTTTGGCGCAATCCGATAGGCGTCCTCTGAACCGGGAACAACGATGACAGCATGGGCACCCTCCCCGGTCAAATTCATGATCGACTTTTCCACGTCCTCAGTTGCGTAGTCAATGAATGCATCCGCTCTACTCTCCAGGTACTTCCGTTTCTCATCTCCCGTGTCTACCGCGATGACACGGAACCCCTTTAGCTTAGATGCGATTTGCACTCCAAGATGACCGAGCCCTCCTCCGGCGCCTTGGATTACCACCCAGTCGCCTCGAGATAAGTCATTGTCCAGCATCGAAAGCGCGCCCATCATCGTGAGGCCCGCACAAAGCAATGGTCCTGCCTCCTCGTCGTTCAAGCCCTCCGGTATCAAGGTCAAGTATCTCGAGTCCGCGACGACGTATCGCTGAAGAGTCCCAGGACGGTGCTTGCCGGTATTCAGCTGCTTGGCGCAGTTATTGGGGAATCCGCGCGCGCATACGGAACATTCTCCGCAGGCGCTATAGAGCCACTTGACTCCAACCTTCTTCTCCAGGAGTGACTCTGAGACGTTGTCTCCCAATTTCACGACTCTGCCGATACCTTCATGGCCCACGATGGGATCGTAAGCACCCCAACCACGGAGCGCTCGGACTTCTGACCCGCTGCAAAGATGGCCATGGTGTTAGCGATGTTGGAACCAGTGATGAAGGTAGCCATCTGTCAACTTACCATAATCCAGTGAAGTCAAGTTGGACGAGAACTTCAAATGGCCCGGGAGTTCCGACTGGGACATCTTCCCGGACAACGACCTGTGCATCAGGGCCGGGGTTCTCAAACAGAACTGCTCGTTGCAGTGTAGGAATATCAGAGCTCATCTTGCTTGAAAGGTAACGTCGCAATGAGATGACTTGAAAGTGACTCTAGAATGTGTCAAGTGGACGTTGGGGTGGTTGCTGGGGGGTTGGATATTCCACGGAGTTTGTTACCTCGGGAATAGTGGGGTGTACCCCGCGCCGGGAACACACACGGCAGTCAAGAAAACGGGAATAGTGGATCACATCACGGACCATGAACGGCGCCGGTTAATCGGTAGATCGCTACGTTGAAACTCAATTAACCTCATGCAGTTGACTTTTAATTATAGAAACTACACGGCCATTTTGCTCCATAACTCCTTGCTCTACCAAAACAATACCATCAGCCACACTCCTTCTCTCAACACACTGCCTACATACCTAGACGCGAGTGGATGTAGGAACCTAGCAGGTCCAGACGTATGTGCACTTGGTGTCAGCAGGGACGCAGCCCGTCTTTCCTGCGTTGCCGTCGCCAGAGAAATGTCCGTTCTGGTTACCGCAGACCAGTGTAGGGCTGGTGTACTGGTCGTCGATCTCGCACGTGAGGTCGTTGGAGCAGGTGCCGGAAAGGTTCCAGGTCTCTGCGAGGGCCAAAGGCACCAGGAGAGCGATGATGGTGAAGAACTGCATCTTTTGTGCTGGTGCAAAAGTAAAGGGCCGGAACTTTTCGAGAAATTGAAACGAAGTGCTGAGATTGGGAATGATGGTGTAAGTATTTGACAGGTTAAAGGCTTCCCTGCAACTTATAAATCTCCTATTGTTCTCCTTTTTTCTTTCTTCGCCCATTTTACTCAACATGAATCTCAATTGCTAAGCGGCCTTCGAGACAGCGTTACGGAACGAACCATTGCTAGGAACATCAGGAGCCTGACTCGTCCAGGTAGATCATCATTTACGTTGTAAGCGAGAGGTTTTAAGAAGTGAGGGCCATCAAGCGGGTTTACGTCTGTTAAGTGCTGACTCGCTGGTTCTTTGACGGACATCAGCCGCAGGGAGGTACGCGTACCGTGGGATCCACCTCATCGCCAAGCATTCTGCTGGGTATGTATCACCATGGAAGCGGCTGGAAATATGACCTCTCCACAATGATCAAAGATCAGATAATCTTTTTTTCAAGGGGATTACTGTACGAGCCGAAACAACGGCCGTGAAATGCGACGTAGTCGGAAGTTCCCAACGATTTCGGATTGTCGGATAGAGGTTTGGATAAGACCCTGAAACTCGAGCGTTCAGTAATCGCTGTTTTGACATGACAGTTGCTTGCTTGATTACCATCGTATTTAGTACGACAAATCCGCCATACGATCGGAATCAGGAATGCTTGTATAGCCTTGACTCGCTTTCGACCCATCTTCCCGGTGGGAGACTTCCCTTATTGCCGCATTCCCGTATAGAAGACGAGGCGTGGGCATAATTTGACCAAACATACGTCCCTGGAGGACAAAAAAGGAAAGAAAAAAAACACCCCGTTCCTGGTCTCCAGCAATGATCAATGATGTGTTCATTGAGGCACTGGAAGTTTCCTCAATAGAAGGCACAGTGGATCACCTACCTACCTCTTTTCCTATCTCCCCGTGCCCAATCGGGGACTCTTGCATTACGACAACTCATGTCGTCTTGTCCCGCATTTGCTGCACAAAGAGGCCCGAATGCAGCAACGAGTGCACATGTAGACTTGTCAAAGAGTCCCTGTGGCCTATTTTCCATGAAGAGCTCACAGACTCTAGTTTATCCTAATAGAGTCATGAATCAGATGCTCGTTGTGGGTCAAGTTCGGAAACCCCCCACACCCGGCATGCCGAGGGAGCAAGCCGGTAGTCCGAAAGTCACAGAGGGTAAGCTCCTTTTCCGAAGTAAGTAAAAGAATGGAAAAAAGATTTCACCTCAGTAGGCTACATGTCGTGGTGCACATGCCGGGAATCGAACTCGTAGCCTGTCGTCGAGTAGGATGTGGGCGTATTTGATTGTTAAGCTTGAACTACTCCAACACCCAGCCAGTTTGACCTGACCTATCGATCTAGACAGAAGCCTGCTGGTTGGTGACAGGAACGGAATTGAGAGGGGCTATATATGTGTATCCTGTATATTCAGGTGGAAGGTATGTCTAGATATCTCCCTATTAGGCCACAGGATATTCCTCTGAGTATTCGGTAATGAAGCTTGGAGTACCCCGTTGACGGCGAGGCATCAACCTTTGGGGCTCTCAAGTAGGCCAAAAGTACATTCGGAAATATGCCTACTAATAACGGGCACTTCGCCCGATGGAATGTTCCAATATGACACGTTGCCTGGAAAAAAACGATGACCAGAAAATTAAGGCGACCGGCATTTCTATTGTTCATTCGCTTAAGAGCCAACACCTAGAGTAAGTTGCGAAGCTTAGTCTAGTTATTTGGTTCAGGATCTCAAGAGGTTGTTGTGTTTACTCTCGAGTCCATGGCATGACAACCGCCAGAATGGAGGTCTATGCCCGCGCTAGTTCACTGCTCTCTCACACTCGAGATCCAAAGGCATTAACAGTCCTACCACCCATACTAATACACGCTCCTCTCTTCCACGAATTATTCTCATGATCAGCATACCACGGACCACGGAGCTCCTGGCCCGCGATACATCCCTTGGTAGAGTAAAAGTACGCCTTCTGGTTATAACCCCCATAGACCTCGACCCGGACGGACTTGGGGGCAAAATCGGTGGTAGCGCAGGTGTTGTCGTAGATGTTGCGTCTCTGCGAGGCGCCTCCGCAGTTCTCGCCTTTATGCAGGGTGAGAACATAGCCGGACGTGGTGGAGGCGAATCCGAGGCCGACGATGAGCATAGATGAGAGCTGCATTCTCGTTGATATTATCGTCGTCGTTGTTGAGGTGGCTATAGTTGGTCTAGAACAACGAAAAGAACAAACATTTAATGCACTGGGCTTATGTCGTATTGAATCGCTAACTTACTAACTTGATGTTTGAGAGAAGGATTTCGTGAGAATATGAGAGAAGAGTTGTTTGATATTGTGATAGCCCCTCAAGCGGGGTCATACCTCTGTCTTTATACACAAGAATGTGAACTCACAACATAGTCCTAAGAGGATCAACGCCAGCGGGGTTTACTACTACATCGAGTTACTATCTGGTATAGTAACGGCCATCGTACACGATTTCTAAATCTGCGACACTTTTTTGCCCGGGATGCGTGGGACTGGACATGTCACGAGATCTCCAAGCCTTCTGGATCGTCGAAGACTGTGTGTACTATTACCTTGGATTTCCGAATAGGGCTAATATTACTTGGCATCTGACATATGCTTACATCAATGCTGTGTCTTCCTTCGTTATACTGAGACCTAGACATGGAGCATGATACTGAGACAAAGAGGAAAGTATGCACGTGCTCACTGGCCCAAAGAGAAAAGTCGACAGCCTGCCGATCCAGACCTTTTCTATCTTACAGTACGCCTTGTTATGGTCCTTCCTTTGCGACGTTTGGAAAGATGAAGTTGAAAGACATCAAGTTACTCTGAACAACCTTGCAGAGTTCATTTCAGAAGTACTAAATCCATATGTGTTCTCAACTATGTATGGATGGAAACTGTCGGATTAGAAGTCCAATTCGACAGCGGCATACGGCCAATTGCGCAGGGGCTAATTAGGGGCCCTATTTACGATTATCGTAGCTAGCCTAACCTATAGTTAGAACCTCCTTTTTATACTTATTACGTAGAAGTTTATATAGTTTAATTAATCTCTTCGTTAACTACGGTTCGAACTAATTACCTTATAATAGGGATACTAACAGAAACTCTTTGCTAAAACTACCTAGTTTTAAGACTGTCTTAAAACGCTCGACCGGAAGCGCACTTTGGTAGTAGATCAATGATGTCGATTCGGTACATGGAGTTGATATTGTACCCCCATGCGAAACAGTGCATGCAGAAGAATCATCTTGCGCTGCCCGCTCTTGTACCACTGCCACGCGTTGATCTTGACCCGTCTGTTGAACAGTCTGTTCGATTGGTTGCCTTTGAGACTAGAGCTTGAGCAGCAGACAAGATGCACCCGGTTCTCTGCCGTGACACCTTAGTAGCTATTGAGTATCGTTCTGGGGACTCACCGAGATGAGCTGTTGCGTGACCTACCCTAGTGTACCTAGCCGCAAATATTCGCAAAGGCAAGTATAATAGGGATTACTTGTTTGAAAGATGGTGCAGAAGTAGCTTAAAGGGCCATGAAGAGCCCTTTGATTCGAAGGTAACGAAAGAGAACAGCCTTGGAATTGTAAATCCTGCGTGAAGAAAGGGCAGGTTGTTAAGAGACCCAGATCCAAAAAGGGAGATCTTGATAGAGAAAGATATTGTGAAGAATAGACGCTGTAAAGTGGAAATAATCCATCTTGAGAGTGGATAGACAATCGACAAGAAGGCCGCAAGGGACTATCAAGGTCTTGCAAACAACGGACAGCATATGGTCTATTTCCAATTAGCTTCCAGCAAAATTGGTTTCCCATCTGCCTTGTCACAATCCTGCACCCTCAACCGCGGAGCTGTCGGGACGTACTCTGACAAAGACTTCTCTCAGTAACTAAAATTGGACATAGACTTCTACAGCATCACGAGTGAATTCGACACAGAGTCTGAGGCAATTGGTTGTGACATCTGATGATTCCTACAACAACCTGAAGAAGGGCCATCTTGACTTCACACGTGAAAACATGCTACTACCACATGATGAAGCGAAGAGGATGTATCCTGGTGCAACATAGGCTTGACCACCTGTTCTTCGGGGCGAACGGGGAGGTTCAAGCGGCGACGTAGGTTAATAACTGCGTTGTCAAGGTGTGAGCGGATATAAGCCTGATTAGGATGTCGCGTCTTTAACTCGGTTCGAATAAAACGCCGACCTTATGTTTTTATGATGAAACATGAAAGCTGGCTATCGAGAAAGGCAAAGTATCTGCGCAGTTGAAGCACCAATTCCACTTCTTGGGTCTGGCGTTCCTAGTGCAGCATGAAGCTGTCGTGGACATCGACACCGTTGGGTTCACGTCCTTTGGCAACGAGTAGAAGCGTCTAGGCGTCTATCATAAAATGAAGTTGGCCGAGTAGACGGCGTTACATCAACTCGCAAAATGTCGGTTCAGGTTCTATGATAGTGCGTCGATATGGAAACATCGCTACTGGTTGAGTGAACATTGCCATTTACGAAGGGTAGCGCAACAGACCTTAGCCTACTGGACAAAAAGTTGCCAACTTGTGTTGTGCTGCGATCTAGCGATGAGCACGGTACTTGAGGATCCTTGTTTCAACATGCATCAGTAGGACGCCCGTCCGTAAAAGCTCCCCTGACTCACGATGGCCATTTTGCTTGATGGAAAACATCTAGGTGGAAGAGAGAAGGAGGGGCTGATGAGGAAGAGAGGAAATGGAAGAGAGAAGAAACCCCGCTCCCCTTGAACATCGTCCACCAAGGCTGTTGCGACACAACTTGGAAGCCATAAATGATAGGGCGTATCCTGTCAGCCATAAGGTCTCACAGGGCCGCGGCATAAATATTTCCACATTGGTGGCTTCGGCGCAGTAATTCTGTGGCAGGCTAACCAGTAGCAGCTGAACATTCCACCGCGAGAAGCTAGCCAGGTTGGTG